GTACAGCTTTTTACTGTAATTACTACAGTAAATTCCACTAACTTAAATGTAGGGGGCTTAAAAGTCGCAAAAATATACAAAACAGCACACTTGCTCAGTATTTTTGTTTTTTAAAGCATAGCCCATTATTTCCGTAAAAAGTAGCCTACTTTTTAAAAAAGTATGCTAAAGTGTACTTTTTCACAAGAGCTTCCAAAGCAAGTTGAGCAATGTCTTCTATTAAGAACAGGACACAAACACAAATAAAACCCCTCAAAACACCTGGGAAAAGAAATGCAATTTTAAGTAAAGACAGAAGTAAATTAAAATAGGCCACACTATAAACTAGAGCACACAGCCTTGAACAAAGTACAGAAATTAAGATCCAAGATAGACTTTCTTTGATAAGAAGAAGTGATAAAGAGCTCCTTGGAATTGTGTGGTGGGGTGTTTGAATTTATGGTGAAAGAAATTCCTGGTTTTCCTCTGGGAATGCTGAACCCTACGAGACCACAGGAGACTGCTTGTGCTGAAGTAAATAAACATACATAAATCTAAGTCCTTCCCCCGGGAGCCCGTGAGGAATTGTGTTTGCGAGTGAGTGAGTGAGCGAGGCAGAGCGTGAAAGAGTTGAGTTACTGGACGGATCTCTTTCATATCTTTCTCTGAATTGCAGTGAGTGAGAATTTGATGGATCGACTGGAATGTTTTGTTTTGGTAGCTTAATCCACTCACAAACATCCTCAGGTGCTGATATCTGCTTCAGAGTCATGGTTATTTGTGATATTTTATTTAGACAAACTCCTCCAAACTGAGGATCATATTAATGATTCTTGGATGCTTTGACAGAATAACAGCAGCCATTTATCAATCAATCAGTCTTTGTTTTACGAATGATCGGAAGCCTATGGGTTTTTTTCACCCCTTTTATTATTTGCCAGGTGAAAATTGTAATTTGATCACTGAGAGACATAATATCATTTTTGTCCATTGCATAAATGAGTTACGGGCCGAATTTTCGGTAATAGTGCAAACACCAATTAATGTGCATTAAGTGCATATAGTTATTACTCAGTAAAGTACTCCGTAAAACATCCAATTGTATTTAAAACTTATAGGCCTATTCATAATACAAGATGAAGCACTGAAATGCCATTGTAGCTCCTTGCTGTAAATGCCGCTTTTGATTTTGAAGGCCTCAGAATATCTTTCCCCTAGCGCTGACCCACAGCTGGATCCCTTCGGCAGGAGAGAGTGGATTATAGGAGAGGATATTGGGATACTTTAGACCAGAACCCAAATGCTCTTCACACTAATAAGAAGCAAACTGCAGTTCTCCAGCAGCCCGGTCACTACCCCTGCCTTCCCTTGTCACACACAAGCACGCAAACAACACTACCCTCGTCCCATTTGACGTACAGTGTTGGGGCTACGGTCTCCACGCTCTGCTGCAGTAAACCCCATTAGCAAGGGCTTCATATTGCATCCCTCCCACCAGGCCAGAGCAATCAAAAACAGCTGCTGTGATTAACTGGGATCTTATGCTTTTGCCTTATTAGTTTTGTTTTAAAAACATTTTTTAATCTCATTCAATCTCCCTGTCCATCTGTCTCTTGTGCATGATATGAATAACTCAAGGTTTCCTGTCACTCATATAAGTGATAAATAGATAAGCATGCTTTTTCAACCGCAGAGTAACAGAACATGCAGACAGGCCCGGTCCTGGATGATAGTGACTGAAGGAGACAAACGGATCACACACATTCAACACACGCAATCATTCACACAGAGGGCAATGATTACATTGCTTTTGGTTGGCCTAAATACTTCGGAATGCCCAAACTAGTGTCAGGTCTTATACTGTGTAGCACATACTCTTACTCAATACTTGATACTATGCAGAACAAACTGTTTGCAGATTGGAGATATTTCATTGTTAACTTATTATTTTTTAGTTAAATTATTTTAGTTTATTGAATATTGCAATATTTAATTTTTGCAACAAGAAACAATGAGAAAAAAACACAAAAATGCTACCTGACAGTGAGGACACATCAGTGTTTTTAAATAAATTGATTCATTTATTCACTTAGCCACTTATTTAGTTCCTTAGTAAATCATTGATGTTGTTTAAAAAAAAAAATTTGGTTAAAATAATGATTCACTCACTTTTGATGACTGTCACTTATTTAATTCATGAATGAATCAGTGTCTTTAAACAAATCGGTTGCGTAAATGATTCAATTAATCACTCATAATGACAGTCACTTGTTTTATTCCTGAATAAATCAGTACTTTTGAACAAATCAGTTTAGTAAATGATTCAGTTAATCACTAATAAACACAGTCATTTGTTACATTCCTCAATAAATCAAATTTTGAACGAATGGGTTGAGTAAATGATTTATAAAAGGACTCACTTGTCTCATCAAAGTCACTTGTCTCATTCCTGAATTAATTAGTGTTTTTGAAAAGAAAAAATGGGTGAATGGATTATTCATTGACTCACTCATAAAGTAATTTGTTATGTTGATGAATGTATTAGTGTTTTGAACAAATCAGTTGAATGATTCAATGACTCTCAAAAAGACAGTGACTTGTTTTGTTCCTAAATGAATCAGCGTTATGAACGAATCAGCTGAATGAACATTCAACAACTCACGAAGAGATATTAAATTGTTTAATTTCCAAATGAATCAATGAATGATTCAATTGATCACTCATGAATTAATTGAATTGAATGTGTGTGTGTGTATATATGTGTATCTTCAGTTAATCATTGAAGACTTATTTATTTGGTTACTGAATTAATCATAATAATGCCTGCAGAAAAAGTAAAATCTCCACCACTCTGGAACTAACCAACACAGTTAAGTAGAATGATACAAACGGCCAAAATGATGTTAGCAAAAGTAAATTTGGTAATCAATGCATTGCTGATAATGGCCATCACTACAGATACCTCCACTAAGCAGCTGGTTGGCCTGCTTCGGTTGTTTATTCCATTGATCTTCAGAGATTCAGAGCTCATTGTGTTTTATGTGGTTTTGAGCTGCCTGTAAATCTCCTGACACAATGGACACCACGGCAAACGTGTCTCAGAGGGAAGACGCAAGCTGCCCTCTCAGGGCACATTTCATTCCTTCTCTCCATTCACAGCTCTTTACATGAGGTGTAAATCAGGTCCTCAGAGACGAAGCCATGGCTGTTCAATGACCCATTAATGCAGCCGCTCTGTTCCCTCATTAACAAACCGCCCAGGTTGTTTACTTATGCATATGAGCCCATATGAGAGGAGAATACTTGGAAATGCCCTGAGCGTCTGTCTGATTTGACTGTCATGCAGGTTCTTTATCTTTGCAGTGAAGACATCTGGTAGTCATTTCTCTAACCAGGCAACAGATGGTTTACACAGAACCTGTTGCTGCAAACCTTGGCAAGTCAAGCAAACTGTAATGCTGATATAACGCAGGGCATGGGGTGTAATCATATATGATACATGTAATAATATACAACAACGTGATCCTCTACAATAAACTTTAGGTCAGTGTTGGTGAGATACTGCATACTGAAATTTCCCAGAATTCTCGTCATGAGCTACTTCAGAAAGACTAACAATTGAGCATCCAAATATTTAGATTTAATCTTGATTTCTGGGTCCAGATTTACCACAGCCAACACTGAGTTTGCTGCTTTTAATCATGATGACATTGACGTGTCAAAACACTCAGAGTTGCTGTCGTCACAGGCAGTATAAATGCAGGAAAAATAAAAGAATAAAAATGCAATCTGGTACTGTATTTATTTTTTTATTTTTTAGTAAATGAATAAATTTCAATGAACAACTTATGATTTAAATAAATATATATATTATTTTTTTATACATTAACATTTTTTAAATAAATGGTTTAAATTAACTTTTTTCAATTTATGAAACTATTTCTACAGATAAATACATAAATATAAGATAAAACAATGTTCAGACCATTTTTTCAGACCAATGTTCAGAATGAATTCTGTCTCTAATGTGCTCACATTCATAAAAACATTTATAATTTAAATAAATATACATGTTCTAAATTAAAATTGAAAATAAATTATTTAAATGAATATTTATGTTCAAAAGTCCACTGAAGGCAATCTGATGTGTGAACCTTATCTGTCTTGGCCCAAGCTCCACATATTACAGATAAATACATAATCTGACGATATTTAAAAATTTTTTTAATTCAAATAATTATACATAATTTGATAATGTTCATACCATTTCCCCCCTTTTTATAAGGGCCAATATAAATTCTGTCTTAAATGTGTTTTTAAAAAAAAGTATAAACTATGTAACTATAGGCATGTAGCTGAGAGTGGGGAGAAAGTGAGAGGTGCTCGGGAGGTTTGATGAGTATCTGGTTTCTGCCTCAGTGCCAGCGCATGGCTCAGTTTCATTGTGTCTGGCTGAATGAAGGTCTCCCAGGAAAACTCAGTGTTAGAAGGGGCCGCTCACCAGAACTGGATTGGATGACTTTATCGTACATGTTCATGTTGTTGATTTGTGTGCCTCTGTCAAGGCCAGGTTTTATTTGATGATTTAGGTAACGTGAAACAGTAAGGAGCGAAGTGGCACACATAAACACACACACACACAACTTGCCCTAGTATTAATCATGCAGTGCCCCATATAACGTGTGTGCTTTGCATGATTGCAGAGACGTCTATGATAAAATGGTGCAACAAAGTTTAATGAAGTACATGCGGCGCCAGAAGCCTGTGTCCCAGACCTCGCAACAACAACAACATGCAGCAACGCATCTCCACAAGTACATCTGGATATATGTATGCTGAACAAGGATGCATCAACAGCATGCAAAACGTAAAATGTACATACACGCTGCTTTAGAAACATAAAAAAATTGTTTATTTCTAATATTAAATATATTTGTATACTTAAATTCAATCCTTGAAAGATGTTCAGAAGATCAACCGGTTTTAAGCAAAGTAGGGTGTACATATGGAGGTGATCTAACCTGATGTTCAGCCAGATGTAAATAGAGACTGTCTCTCTCTCTTCACATCTCCTCCTTCCATCTCTCTTTCTCACTTGCTCTTGGCTTAATTAAGTGATGAGAGTCCTGAGATCAAAGACAATAATATGTCACTCATCACAGCCAATCCACACGCTGGTGCAGTGTGTTCACTAAAGCAGTGTGAATTTTGACCACATTTTGATTTAGTTTTATTCCTAGTCTTTTGACTAAAATGCCATTTAGTTTTAGTCATATTTTAGCCATCTGAATTGTTTTTAGTTTTAGTCGTCTAAATCTAGAGTAAATTTAGTCGGCTAAAATCTAATGGGTTTAGTTACAGTGCATTTATTAAGCATTTCTCTAAAAATGTCCAAACTCGTATAGGTTTGATATTAAAGGGGTCCTATTATGCGCTTTTACAAAGTCTTGATTTTGTTTTGGGGGTGTACTAGAACAGGCTCTCATATCCCTTTAAAACCGAATGCACAGCTGCAATGAACTGATACACGTTCTCCCTACTGGTTTACATTCACTTAAGAAGTAATCAACTGTGTTTACGTGAATACTCGTCAAAACGGACAATTCAACATAATTTTGTGTGTAATTCTCCGTTCGCAAAAGAGTACTCGCGCGCTGTGAGACGCGCTTCCTGTGTGTGTATGCTTCAGTGTCTGTGTCAGAAAACCGGACCAAATTGAGTTCTCTGTTACGTCGTCAGATTTATCCATATGTCTGCTCTTCTCTTACTCCCACATATTGACATTTTTTAATGTTTTATGAGACGTGCAGCAAGTGTATGTTAGCTAATGTCCCGTCGGTTCATATGTACGCATCTAACCTCCGAACCACGCAGCAGATTCGTTCTGAATGAATCGCTTCCAAAATCGTCCCTCCCTAACATTTTCATCTCGTTTTTATTCGTTGACGAAAATGTCAATAAATATTCGTCATAGTTTTTGTCATTCAAAAAGAGTTTTAGTTCGTTATCGTCTCGTTGTCGTCAGTGAAAAAAATGTCGTTGACGAGAATTATGACGAAAATGATTCATCAACGAAATTAACACTGCACTAAAGCATGTGTGTAAGTAATGTAATGGCAGAAGAATCAAAGACTTAAGATTTTCTGTGCCAAATACATACCGATATTGGAAAAGGCTCCAGTAACATATTAAGGAGGGCAAACAGGAGGAGGGTCAGCACACAGAAGGAGACAACACAGGTAAATATCCACAACAGAGAGGCTTTAGAGGAGAAAGCGATGATCACAGGTAAGTGATAATAGTTAAGTAACTCTAGCGGAGTCTTAGCTGAGCGGTAACACTGTCCTTGATTTGCCGGTTCGTGGGGAATCCAGAATACTGAGCAGATGACTGAAGATGAAGCGATCATAAAGCAGATCAGGTAAGCTGATGCAAGAAGTAACAAGAAGACCAGACACTGAGGTGGTGACGGGAAGGTGGCTTTATACTGTGGTTGATTAGTGCAGACATGTGAGGAGAATCAGAACTCTGGTGATTGTGAATGAGTGGAGCTGAAGGATCTGGCGTTGTTGGTGACTCCGTGAAAGAGGGCAAATCTGCATCATGAACTTTAAGAATTAATAAAGTCAGTTTCTCAGCGAGTCATGAGGGGGAATGCTGGAAATACAACAAACACATAAGGAGATACTCCTGCACATAAGCATAAACACATACTGACACAAACGCAAATATAAATGACCTTCAAACAAAATCAAACTAACATGATTTGACTTGCCATGGCAGGACTTTCCTTAGTAGAGGAACAGTTCAGTCATTTTTACTCTTAACCTCTTCTTTCTCTATGGAATGGAAAAATACTGAATGAATATTTATGCAGGATTTTTCCATACAGATAACTTTACTGTTATATTTACTTTTCCAGCATTTACTCAATCAAAAAAACAGCAAAAACAGTAATATTGTTACATTTTTTAAACGGCTTTGTATTTGAATATATTTTAAAATGTAATTTATTCATGTGATGGTAAAGCTGGATTTCAGTAGTCATTACTCCAATTTTCAGTGTCACATGATCATTCAGAAATCATAATATGCTCATAATTTTAGTGCTTAAACATTTCTTATTATGATCACAATTGCAAACTGGTGTGCTGCTTGATATTTTTGTGGAAGCTATGATACTTTTTTTATAAGGATTCTTTGATGAATGGAAAAATAAAAAGAATCTATTGTATGGCTGACATTATCTTCATTTGATTGATTCAATGCAATGCCTTAATGAATTTTTCTTTCTTTCTTTTTATATATATATATATACAGTGGTGTGAAAAAGTGTTGGACCCCTTCCTGATTTCTTATTTTTTTGCATGTTTGTCACACTTTAATGTTTCAGATCATCAAACAAATTTAAATATTAGTCAAAGATAACACAAGTGAACACAACATGCAGTTTTTAAATGAAAATTTAAACAAAATAAACAAAATCCAAAACAAAACAAAATCCAAAACTACATGGCCCTGTGTGAAAAAGTGTTTGCCCCCTAAACCTAATAACTGGTTGGGCCACCCTTAGCAGCAACAACTGCAATCAAGCATTTGCGATAACTTACAATAAGTCTGTTACAGCGCTGTGGAGGAATTTTGGTCCACTCATCTATGCAGAATTGTTGTAAATCAGCCACATTGGAGGGTTTTCGAGCATAAACCGCCTTTTTAAGGTCATGAAATCATTTTCAAAGTTTTTAAATTCCTTGTTTTATTGTTGTGATTATTTTTTTTATTTTCTTTTATGTAAAGCACTTTGAATTACCATTGTGTATGAAATGTGCTATACAAATAAACTTGCCTTGCCTAAAACGGTTTAAAATCAGACTGAAGAGCTGTGATAAATAAATAAGACAGATGTCATCAGGGGGTATTCTGAGAATTACAACATTATTATTAATGGGGGAAATAAGCTAAATTTTAGTACAGTTATGCAGTTTTTTTTTTAGTATTTTAATTTTAGTAGTGTTGTAGAATGCAAGTTAAAATTCTGTTGTAGATGTAAGCAAAATCTTAATAGGTCAATATAACCCTTCTAATTAAATTATTATTAATGCGTTTCGGTAGTGACAAATTTGGAGAGAGGACAAATATTCCAAAACTTTCTGAAAACACAATATGAGAATCAACTGCATAATTACTAGAAATGTGTACCTTGGACATTATACAATTTGCATACATACATTATACAATTTTTTGGAAAAAGACATTTTTTCTCTGACTTTGGACCAATTCTGTAGAATGGCCCATAAATGTGCTATTACATTGTAATACCCTTTCCTTTGAGGAAAAGACAAAAGGCCATGGGATTACTTCATGAGAAAAACATTTAAGAACATTTTGTCATCTATTCATACACTGTTATTCATTTAGCATAAATGTCCATCTTTTCCTACAACTTAAAGACAGAAATGTAAGATATTTTATTCAGTTCCATTTTCAGAGATTCTTGGCTCCCCTTAAATAAACGTAAGGCATTTAAGCATTTGAAATGCTAGTTTTAAACCAATAATGTGCAGATTAATATATGAATAATACATGTAGAATGAAATATATTTGTTCTTAATTGTTAAAGGCATTGCTTACCACTTGCATATCAGTCTGCCAGATCACTCCAATGTTTTAGCAAACTGATAATTCTCTAAAAAAAAAAAAAACAACGAACATCTCCCATACCTTTTGGAAAACTAAACAGAATATTTCCCCTTACAATCAAGAGTTGGTAAAAAACTGTGAAGTCAACACTGATAAGTCTTTACACCAATTTACAAAAGTTGGCTATTGTATGGCTGGCTTGCAATATGAGATGAAAAAGGAAAAAGGTAATAATTATTGTTGTTATTGAGATATCAACTGTCTGCAAAGAGTCACAATATATACAGCTTGACATTTATGGACATGGAAAATAAACACTATCTCTCTCCAAAAACGTTTTTTTGACTAGTTTAACACATTTAAGCACTGAAGTTATGTAATAAAGCTTTCTAATTCATACTATACCTATGGTACAGATGCCCTCTAAATGGCATATATTTATATTAAACTATATTGCAAAAGTTTTACATGTTGTGTAAATAAAAATTTGACACACGCAAATGAATACAGAAACTCAATATTTGCCCTTTTCATGACTTCTTACGACATCTAATACATTCTAAAGTGTAATAAAACATGTTACAAAATGGATTAAGATATAAGGAAAAATAAGCAAGACTTAATTTGTCATATTTATCACAGAGTTGTACCTCCACAGTCCAGGCTCTGCACAGGAAAAATAGCATGTGCCATGAGTCCATATTTTCTCCATGATTTTTCAGTTTCACAATCAGGTACCAGGGGATTGACCTCATCACACCCCTCACATCTCCTCCCCTCTTGCCTGAAGAGTAGCCATGAAGAGGTAGAGTTACACAGAACTCGCAGGAAAAGATGAAGCTTTAGTTTTCTCATGTATTACCACTTAAATCAAAATTTCATACATGTGGTTCCCATTACTCACGAATTGGCCGTGCTCACTTGAGAGATTCTGTTTCTTCTCCTTAACCTTGTCGACTGCGCACTTTGTCATGTGCAGGAACAGAACCTTGGTGGAAACTGCAATTGTCATGAAACAGTTGCAGGAAAATTACATTTTTGTGGATTCACAGTCTTGTTCAACAGAACGAGGAGGCTGAATTGGTGCTCAGTGAGATTATTGATGTTATAAAGAGTTTTCCATCAAGCATCAAAGCAGGAAAACACCTGAGGAAATACACACACACACAAACGACCCAAAACAGGGCACAGAGAGGTCCAGCTGACCTAGTATTGCCTACACAGCTGCGCTTTCCCACGCAAACACAGCAGTCCAGTGCGGTTTCAAAAGAGCAGCATTTATTTAAAATAGAAATCTTTTGGAACAATGTAAAAGTCTTCTTAACTGTCACTTTTGGTCAATTTAATGCATTTTTGCTTAATAAAAGTATTCATTTCTTTAAAAAAAAAATTTGATACAGGTAATGAGACTTAAAGTTTGAGATTCTCCTTTGGTTTTTCATGTACTCAAAATGCACATTTTTCTGCTTGGTCCCTTTTCTTAATTAAAATGAGCTAATGCAACACAATTCCTGAATATTTTGTATTGCTGCACTGATTTCATAGTGTGCAGCCAAGTTAAATTTTTAGTTTACGTGATCCATTTATATTAGGATTTTATGAACTATTTTATAGCTTTTTATTAACCAAAATTGGACGTACAAGAATCCAGATCTAGACCAACACAGATGGTGAAAATTGATTTGAACATGAAAAAAGTTCTCAATAAAAAAGCGAAAAAATCGGTTCATGTGTAACGGTATCACAGCCATAAACCACAACCACCTACATTGTATCTGTGTTCCCAATATGAATGTCTGTTTCTTTTGAATTATATGTGATTAAGGTCATAATTCTTTTTTTTTTTTTTTTGCATCTATCTCCAGGCTTCTTGGCATTTTCTTCTATTCTGTGAAACCTGAACAAACCCCAAATCCTCAGAACTGCTCTCACAAGAGTGTCCAGCTCTGTTATACAATACACAAGAAGTTCACTGGAAGATTGTTTAGCTAGAGATTACAATAAACATTTATGGTTACATTTATTCATTCTTACAGATGGTGATACTGTAACTCTGAACTTTACACAAATTCCACATCCTGCTGCCGTTATGGAACCAGATGGTAGTAATGTATTGGCTCATCAGATAGGCCGCTGCTCCAATGCTTCCTTCTATGGACAAATGATAATGTAACCGCTTTAATATCTCTCGAGCACACAACCAGTGTGAATGCCAAATCCATTTGACTCACCCTCACGCCATCCAAGATGTAGATGAGTTTGTTTCTTCATCAGAACAGATTTGGGGAAATTGAGCATTACATCACTTGCTCACCAATGGATCCTCTGCAGTGAATGGGTGCCGTCAGAATGAGAGTCCAAACAGCTGATAAAAACATCACAATAAAATAAGAGTAAATAATCCATAATAACGCTTCCCCCAGTGAAAAAGTTCATCCCCTGTTGTCCACATTAAAATCCACTGACGTATTTGTTTAGAACTGTTTTGGTATGTTTTCACTTATAAGCAGTGCTTGATCTGTGCATATTTCTCTCCTGATTCAGGCGTAAAACTTTTTCACTGGAGAAAGCAGTATTATGGATAGAGGACTCGTATTTGAACAAATATGATGTTAAAAATGTCTTGATGGATTTTTTTTTATTACAAACACGCAGGTTTTTGCTTCACAGTACATTAACTGATGGACTGGAGTTGTGTGTATTGTGGATTATTGTGATGTTTTTATCAGCTGTTTGGTCTCTCATTCTGACGGCACCCATTCACTGCAGAGGATCCATTGGTGAGCAAGTGATGTAATGCTACATTTTTTCCAAACTGTTTTGTTGATGAAACAAAGTCATCTACATCTTGGATGGCCTAAGGGTCAGCACATTTTCAACAAATTTTCATTT